CCCCAAAACCCCAAAACCCCAAAACCCCAAAACCCCTTTAAGATCAGGCTTACTGAAAATGTCAAATAGTAATAATATATTCTACCAGAATTGAATTTTACGTTTGACAAAGTCGACCATTGGATACTCTATCATCGGTAGATCAGCTTCCACCTTCTTGAAGTTTCTAGTGTAACTTTCAGACTTTACATTTGGAAAGAATGGGGGTTCTTTTTTCTTTGCAAGGAGAGATTTAAAGTCTAGGTTATTGAAAAACATATGTTGCAAGACTTTTTGTCCTTTGCATCTATTCTTTGGATCTTTTCTGAGTAATCTACTAAGTAAATGGTCTAGATCGCTATTCTCATCAGAGAACTTTGCTTCATCTTTTTGGATGCTTTTCAAGACTTCAAAAGGATCTGATCCTGCAAATGGAGGAGAGCCATAATGGAGTTCATAGAGAAGGATTCCAAAAGCCCACCAATCTGGTGAAGAGTCATAGATCTTACCTTCAAGTATTTCAGGAGCCGTGTATGTTGGATTTCCGATAGTAGTGTTAGTCTTTCCTATCTTATACAATTTTTTGGCTTTATGGAAATCAATTAACTTCAAGTACCCATCTTTCCCTATCATAACATTATCCATCTTAACATTAAGATAAATAATCCCTTTTGAATGTATATAGTCAAGAGCCAGAGCGATCTGAGCAGCATAAAACTGAATAATTTCGTCTTTAAACTCCGCTTGCATTTTATGAAGCAATGTGAGGCTGCCTCCGTTGACAAAATCTTGATAGAGATATACTCATCTCATATCACTGTCTGTCTTATACATCCTGACTATAAAGGGATGTTTCAGTCCAAGCAGGATCCTTCTTTCTCTGCAAATATTCTCTGTTTGACCAAGTTTCATGGCTAAATGTTTTGAAATGGCCTTCACTGCGTAACTTGCTTGACTCTCTTGATCTATAACATGCCAGATAGTCCAGAGATACCGGACTGTGCTTGAATCAAATTTAGGTGGATTCATAGTTCAATCCTGAGTTTCCCAGCAGAGCTTCCCTCTCGCTATTGCTCTATCCCACTTGAGAGATTCTTTAGATGAACTAGATAGTTAATAAAAATTCCATGTAGTGTAAAGATACATGATTTCGGGAGTTGTTTACAAAAGTGTATGATACATTAAATAACGAAGGATTTTAGAAATATGGATTTTGACTGGAAGATTAATATAAACTGCTTTACCTCTTCTTCTTCTTTATAGGTTTACCCTGTTTGTAAGTAGAACCATCTGATGCTATGAAATGGATTTTTAACATAATTCTTCATTTCTTTGAGGAGATAAAAGGTAGTTTAGGTGATGAAAACAAAGGATTTTTAAGATTAATAGTTCTCTAGCCGAATGTATGAAGTTTAAGAATGAGCATAGCTTACCCTTATGAGTAATGAAGAGACGTAAAGAATACTTATTGAGGAATATCTCCAAATCAAAAGTCAGCAAGGAATTTTCATAAACAGATACAACCGAAATACAAAACCACAATCTAACCTGCATCTCCAAGTTCATCAAATACCCTATCTACATCTCTAAATCCACTTACTTTCTATCATTTTCATCTTCTTTCACATTCTTAACATATTTATTAAAAACCTTCAATTATTTAACATCTAATAGGGGTTTTGGGGTTTTGGGGTTTTGGGGTTTTGGGG